GTTTTTGTTTTTCTGTCATTTGTTTTGAGGTCAGTGGCTTCTTGTATTAGATGAAATACACTTTTTATTCTGGCTTTGTTCTGTGATGAGGTGGGGAAAGGAAGACAGTCCTTCTAGGAGCTTCATATGGACGGTTTTTTCAGCCACCCATGCTCACCTCATAACTCCAGGCCAGATACGCAGCTGCCTTTGTTCACGTCCACCTCTGTACTTCACAGGTACTTCCAACTAGACTTCCAACACTTTCCCATCTGTGGTTCCATCCTCACCTCCTTACCCCAAACTGCTCTTCCTCGGTGTTTCCTGCCTCCGGGGGTGCAAACCTGACTTTAGCCCGTGATGGTTCCAGAATGTCCCCAGGGGAAGAGCATAAGGAAGGACCGGTGTGCTGAGGGGGGATGGGATGGTAAAAGACCCTCACCCACTCGCTGTGGAACAGATAGTAAAGCGCTGCCTATTTCCTGAAGTGTGTGTGGGTTCCAAATGTCTGTACCTCATTTTCCCCATTTGTCAAGAGAGAATGGTTTCCCAGGTCTGTTAAAGTAACGGAAAAGGGAACTAAAACTACCATAAAACTCTGAAATTCTCTGGCTTAAGATAGGAGGTGGCCATTGTCCACTGTCAAGACGATCAGATGGGCACAGACCCTGTCACCCAGGGAAATGCCCTGGCCGAAGCCACAGCTCACCAACTTACCTCAGCCCATGACTCCACCCCATCCTGTTTCTTTTCCCTTCTCTAGCTCCCAGGTACTCAGGTAAAAGGGACAACTCCTCAACCAAGGGGCCATACCTGGACAACAAGGATGGATCTCCCTACACAACAGATTGATCCTCCCCAAACAACAGGCCCAAGAGATTGGGGCCTCAATCCACCAGTCTCTACATATTGGCCTGGAGGCCATGTACAGGTTTCTCTCCCCAATCTTCTCATCACAGGATTTCCAGGAAAGATCAACCAAGTACACACAGCCTGTAGCCCATGTGCTCGTCTGTCTTCCCAGGGAGCCCTCCCACTCCAGACAGCAGCCGATCAACTGCGGGGACGCCTTCCGGGACAGGATCGGCAGACGGATTTCACTCACATGCCGTCCCACAAAAAGTACCGATACCTGTTAGTAATGGTTGATACCTTTTCAGGTTGGATCGAGGCTTTCCCCACGTGCTGGGAAACAGCATCCATAGTGGCTGTTGGAACACATCATTCCCCGGTTCGGCCTCCCAGCCTCCATCCAATCAGACAACGGTCCAGCATTCATCTCCAAGGTCACCCAACTAGTGGCCGAGACTCTAAATATCACCTGGAAGTCACATATTCCCTACCACCCCCAGTCCTCGGGTAACGTGGAACGGGCAAATGGTCTCCTAAAGGACCAACTTACCAAACTCTCCTTAGAGATAAAGACCTGGCTGTCTCTACTACCCAAAGCCCTTACCCGGATATGGGCGGCCCCTCGGGACCGGCCGGCCTTAGTCCACTTGAGTCCATGTATGGTAGGCCTTTCTTAAGAACTCCCTTCCTACCAACGCCCCACCAGTAGCCTCCTACTTGCCTTATCTCCCACTCCTCAGACAAGTCCTGCGGGAACACACAGACCTTACCCTACCTCAGGTCATCACCCCGTCTGTGCCACAGGCAACCGCTGCCCTCCAGCCGGGCGATGAGGTCCTCCTCCGGGAACTCCAGCCCCAGTCCCTCCAGCCTCGCTGGATGGGGCCTCACACTGCGGTCCTCACTGCTCCCACTACTCCCTCACGGGTCTCACTGGAGGAACCCGACTCAAGCCAAGTAAGGAAGAGAACGGCGAATGTCACTCAAATGATTCCACAGAAGGTCCCCAGCCGCAGGTCCCGCCTAGAGCAGGCATCGCAGTACCCTCTCCCCAGCAACCCCGCATGACCAGTCACCGGTGATCACGACACCCACACCGGCCAATCAGTTCTGTTCACAATACCCTCAGCGCTCTCCCAGCTCCCTTGGTAAGCCTGTCGCCCCTCCTGCTGGGCGCGGCCTCCCGGGCCCTGCGCGGGGACCGGTGAAGCTTGCCCGGGATCGCACTGATAAATAATTTTCTGGCTCCTTTGTTGCCGCGTGCCTGGTCTGGTTTCATTTACCTTACAGTTGCCTGCGGCACTTTATCTCTCTTTGAGTAACTTTAAATACTTTGCTTCACTACTGTCACTGCCCTTCAATTCTTTGGTGCGGTGGGGACAAGGACCAAGGAAAATACACAACGCTTCCCCAACACAATTATTCAAGTGGCCAATTCCCGCTAGGCAGCTGACATTCTGAGGTCATGTGTCAGTGAGGGCACGTGTTTGACTCAGCCCTGGTTTGCTCACTCCCAGCTCTTCCTGCTGGATTTGCTTCCTGTACTGGGTCCTGTTCCTGGGTGAGTCAAGCTGGGGTTGGTTTTCACACTGGATGCTCAGAGACCACCGGCCTAGGCAGGTTTCATAGAACCTGCAGCGGCCTGATGCCCTGGGTCCTCTGCAGCCCTGGAACTTCTGCAGTGCGGCAGCAGTGGGCCCATTAGATAAAAAATGCCAGTGTGTCAGACCTGGGAATGGTTCCCTCCTCAGTGTCTGGGCACTCAATTCCCATCTGGCTCAGGGGAGACTTTGCAGCAGCCCAGGATTGTAACCTTTTCTTTTCCTTGCTTGGCCCACACTTCCTGCAACACAATAACTTCCCTATGGCCTGGCTCTCAGACTGCCACCTTTTATCTATGTTTAAGATATTAGTTCTTGGCAATTCTGAATATTTTAAGGACCATTCGGTCATTGCTGTTAACACTGACTTTCACAGACGTTCCTTCTTTAGAAGTAGAAGCCCAGAAATTCAGTCAAGTGATTGTGTACGTTAAAATATGTGTAGAGAGCACAGATCAACAGTGTGTGTGATGTGCCCTTAAGCTCCTGATTGCATGGTGCAATTTCAGATATGGAAGTTGGCATAAAAATAGGGGGCAGGGGGCTTGTTCCTACTGTTTCTAAATAGATTTTATAGCTATTTTATTTTATTCTCATTTTTTTATAGCCAAGAAGAAAGATTATCCTCTGGTTCTGGTGAGAATAAAGTGGTTCACTGCCTCATGAAGGAGCAATAGAAATGGACTGGGACATGGAATGCTTGGTTGAAGTATTACTTTAAAAATTTTCACACATATAAATCAAGTATAAAAATCAAATGAATATTCATATTTGAACTGATTGTTTATAGTTCATAATGCATGATCAAAACCGAAACTTTCTGTGATGACTGCCCTTGTACTGTTCACCATGTAACTTATTCACTATGTAAGAATTTGTTCTCCATGTAAGAACTTGTTCGTTATGCTTCAGAAGATTGGAGACTGACGAGAATTAGGCTTGGGGTGGATTAATGATTGTGCATTGAGCATTGACCCCCTATACAGAATTTTATTGTTGTTAACAACCATTTGATCAATAAATACGAGAGATGCCCTCTCAAAAAACAAACGAAAAAAAAACAAAAACAAACAAAAAAAAGTACAGACTTCCAATTGTAAAATAAATAAGTAACCGGGATGTAATGTATAGCATAAGGAATATAGTCAAAATATTGTAACAACTTTGTATGGTGATAGCTGGTAGCTAGAATTATCATGTATATAAATGTTGAATCACTGTGTTGTACACCTGAAACTAATGTAATACTGTGTATCAACTACCCTTCAATAAAAAAAAAAAAGGTAAAAAAAAAAATTTTCAGAACTATTCAAGTTAATGTTCTGTCCTTATAATTACATTTGATAACATTATAATTTTTATAGAATATTAGGACATTGTAGTTTGATATAGAGCTAGAGGAAACATTTCCCTTTATCTTCTGGATTTCAGACATCTGCACTTACTCATCAAAGAGCTTCTTAAAAAATACTGAAAACTGCCTTGAATGCTTGCATGATATTAGTAGGCATGAGGCAGGACACAAAGGCTGATATCGTCCTGTAGAGTCAAGATGTCAATATATATTCCCTTCCCAGCTGTGTGACTGGGCAAATTACCTGAACTCTTCGTGCTTCCATTGCTCACTTTCAACATGGGTTTATAATAGTGCCTCCCTCATAAGGCTAAATCCCTAAGAGCTTAAGAATGTTCCCATTATATGAAAGGGGACTAGTTTTGTATTATCCACAATTATTTAGAAAAAGCAAGCACCCTACTGAGGGGGTCAAAGGTGGAGACTTTGTTCATAGACTGTAGACCATAGGAACTGTCCAGCGGCGAATGGAGTGTTAAGAAAATCGCCTAGGTCCTTTTTATTTTTCTCCCCCAACGTTCAAACTCACTTGACCGAAATAAAAATAAATTGCAACTGTTGCTCTACAAAAAGAACTCCTCATAATGGCAAATAGGCAAACATTACAGATTGGTTTTAGGATTTCCTGAATGCCCTCTTTTCTAAACCTATGTGTGACAACTTATTTGTAGAGTTACTGAAATGGTAGTTTTAGAAGATGGCTGGAAGGAAAAGACTGATGTGGAATGTTACTTAGAGACTCAAACCTGGGACCCTGGATGCGAGGTGCAGCACGGCTGTGCAGCGATGCTCCCGCAGCTCCCAGAACGCCGATCCGGCAACTGGGGTAGAGGCCGTGCAGCTTCAGCATCCAAGGAGGCCTCACTTCATGCTGACGTAAGAGGAACCTCTGCAGCTTGGAGGGTTCTGGGAGGTGCAGTCCCGGGAGGTGGGGATGCGCCAAGGATTCTGGGTACAGGCGTCCTGGGGGAGCGCCGTTGAGGATCCTGAGTGTTGAAATCCTGGAGCTTGCACCACGCTAAGGCTTCTGGGTACTGATAACTTGCAGGGTGCGCCGCTTCAAGGATTCTGGTGCTGGACAGCTGAACAGGGCCTGAGGATTCTGGCTGGGTGCTGATGACCTGGAGCCGCCCGCCGAGGATTCTGGGTCCTGGAATCCTGGGGCCGCACCGAGGATTCTGGGTGTAGACGTCTCGGAACCGCCCGCCAAGGATTCCGGGTCCTGGAATCCCGGCCTGCGCGGGGGATCCCGGGTAGTGTGCTCGGGTGGACGGCCACGCCGAGGCGCAGAGCCTCCGTCTGCATCCGGCAGAGGACGCGGAGCCCCCGTCCCCGCCCGCCGTCCGTCCCCGGGTGAGTCGGGGCCCTGCAGCCCCCTGTCCTGCTCGCTCTTCCGAGCGGGGAGGAGGCCGGCCGTGCGGATGCGGCGGGGGAGGGGTGCCGAGGCCGGAAGCGCCTGCAGGCCGCAGGGGCAGGGGGTCCGTGTCCCAGGGGGAGACGGGGCGAGTCGCCGGGAGAGCCTCTGGGAAAGGCCGGGAGCTGCGGCCCGGGGAGTCCCGGCGTCGTGGGGCGGCTGCGTCTGGAGGGCCGCTCCCCGCGCGCTCGGCGGAGCCTCCGCCTGGGCGGGCGGGTTCCTGACGCCCGAGGAGAGGGAGTCCTCGAACAGGTCGGGCGAGTGGAGGTGAGCGCGGCGTCCAGAACGGTGAGCAGCGGCAGAGAGCAGGGAGGGCCGGGGGCGGAAAGGGGCGCTCGCTGAGCTCCGCGGGGGCAGGTGCCTCGGCAACTTGCACGGCCGGGTCACCTGGATGCGGGGTCCGCGTGGGTCTGCACAGCTGGGAACCCCGGCCTAGCACCCCAGCATATCGGGGAGGCCAGAGCACTGCACGGAGTGCGGCCGTGTTCGGAGACCTTCCCGAAGGCCAAGAAAGGAGATTTGGGGGCGGCTTCTAAAGAGCGCGGTCGGACAGCGGGAGGCCTGTCCCGGTGTCCCAGGCGACGGGAACTCGTGAGCCCAACTCAGACCTCGGTGGCCCTTCCCTGCTTCCCCGAAGTAGGACAGAGGGGGAACGCTTGCGCTTCAGTCTGCAGGTTAGAATGACAGCGAAGTAACAAAGACGCTCACCGCTGGAAGGGCGCAGAGACAAAGCGCACTGTAGCGACCCTCTCCGCAGCAAAACGAGAGTAAAGATGGGAATTATTTAGAAACAGCTCTTTAAGTTTTCTGGGAGCTTGGGTAAGGCCAGTCAGCATTTGAACAAATATTTATTCAGAAGAATCTAAGTATTTTTAAGGATAGTAAGAATCTGTGGCATTGAGGTGAACCCCAAACTGGGAACCCCTTCCCGCCCTGTCGGTGTGACGGAACAACTGAGTGTGGCCAGTGCAGGTGACAGGCAGCGCCCTCTCTCCCCAGGTTTCCGCTCACGGTGGCGATTTCTCCCCGAGTGGCCAGCACCGCCGTTGTCCTCACCTCCTCCTCCTGCCGACCCTGGGTTCTTACAGCTCTGGCTCCGGTCAGCATGCTTGAGGGCTCTGCTATCTCAGTGAGGCTCTCTGGGGTCATCCTTCTTGGGGTTTGCGAGACGTCTTGGGCTTTTAGATTCAGGTCTTGCTAATAATTTGAGGTGTTTTTTTGGCCATTCTTTGTTCTTTTTCTTCAAAGTCTGAAGGTTTAATTTTATTGCTTATGACTTTTTACTGAAGAATAATTGATAAACAATATTATTGGTTTCAAGTCTACAACGTAGTGATTCGGCATTACCTACATTATTAAGTGTTCACCCCAACTAGTGTAGTTACTATCAACATGGAAAGATGTAAAAAGCTATTCACTATATTCTCTATGCTGTACTCACTCCCCTACTAATTTGTATTACGACTGAGATCTTGTACCTCTTTAACCCCTTCACCTATTTCACCCCCAAACCCAAACCCTCTCCCATGGTAACTGCCAGGCAATATAATTGAAATCATATAGGATTTGCATTTCTCTGCCTGGTATATTTCACTTAGCATAATATTCTCTAGGTCTGTCCATGTTGTCACAAATGGCAGGATTTCCCTTTTTTATGGCTGAATAATATTCCATTCTGTATATGTACCACATCTTTATCCATTCATATATTGATGGCTCTTTCATTGCTTCCATATCTTTGCTATTGTAAATAATGTAGCAATAAATATAGACTGCATATATCTTTCAAATCAGGGATTTTCTTTTCTGTTGGTAAATATCCAAAAGTGGAATTGCTGGGTCATATGGTGTTTCTATTTTTAGTTTTCTGAGGAACCTCTGTACTGCTTTCCACAATGGCTGGGGCAGTTTTCCTTCCCACCAACAGGTTTGCGGGATGGATGTCTTGGGCTTTTAGATTCATGTATTGCCAATAATTTGAGGCATTTTTTGGCTATTCTTTTTTTCCAGGCTGAAAGTTTTATTTTATCATTTATCACATTTTACTGAAGAATAATTGACATGCAATATTGGTTTCCAGAATACAGTGGTGATTCAGCACTTATCTACGTTATTAAATGTTCACCTCAACTGACATCATTACTTTGTATCAACATAGAAAGATAAAACTATTGACTATATTGTCTATGCTGTACTTTCATTCCTGTAGTACTGTATATAGTACTGTATATAGTACTGTATATAGTACTGTAGACTGAGCTTTGGTACCTCTTCTTCCCCTAAACTGTTTTCACCCTCAAACCCAAACCCTCCCCCATGGTAACCACCGGTCTTTTCTCCATGTCCAGGAGTGAATTTCATTTTTGTTAATTTTGTTTCATTTTGGTTTTTTTTGTATGATAGGTGAAATTACATAGTATTTCTCTTTCTCTGGTGTATTTCACTTGGCATAATACCCTCTAGGTCCGTCCATATTGTCACAAATGGCAGGATTTCTTTTCTATGGCTAAATACTATTCCATTGTGTAAATGTATCACATCTTAAACCATTCATCATTAATGAACACTTCTTATATAATGTCCTTCCTTGTCTCTTGTTACTTTATTGCTCTGAACACTATTGTGTCTGATGTAAATACTGCTTCTACATTTTTCCCCCTTTTATTTTCATGAAACATCTTTTTCTGTCCCTTCACCTTCAGTGTACATATGTATGTCTTTAGACCTGAAATGAGTCTCTTGGAGGAAGCATATAGGTAAGTTTTTTTTATTAGCGTATCATTGATATACAATCCTAAGCTCAGGTTTCACATGAGCAACATTGTGGTTACTACATTCCCCCCATCACCAAGTCCCCCCCATACACCCCATCACAGTCCCTGTGCATCAGCGCAGTGAGATGCTATCGTCACTACTTGCCTTCCCCATGCTTCTCTTTTATCATGTGTGTTAATCATAATGCTCCTTAATCCCCTT